ATGACTCAAGATCCCAACAAGCAACATCCTTCATAACACATGACATCTCATCTATGTTGCCACTTATTCTTCTTCCCACCTTCGCCGGCAGTGGCCTCACACTGCTCACACAATCCAAACACGTTTGAACGTTGTCAATCCTAAGACGTCTCTCTCCCGGTATAAGATGAGACATGCATGCGTTGTTATAGATGATTTCTTTTGTCTCCAATCCTGGTTTTGCTTAGGTGTTCATTTCCAATATGAATCGGCACCGGTATGAAAGAAAGATGGATACCGTACTCTTGATTAAGCTTCCACCCTAAATAGTATTTAAAAATAACATCATATTCAGATTTTACTTATTTTTCTACTCAAATTCCACATATAACATTAGATATTATTGCGGGTTGATTAAACTAAATATCAGGGGGTTTCCTACAAAAATAAAAATCTGGCTTAAAACCGACTTGCGGGTTGATTACTAGAAATGTCAAGGGGGTTTATGTAAAAGCAAAAAACTGACTTAAAATTGAGCTGCGGTTTGACTGCCAGAAACATCAGTATTTTTTTGTGAAATAGCATGACGGATCAAGAATATCACCTCCCTAGGTATAGATTTGTTCTCCACTAGTACAAGGCCAAAAACAAAAACCTTAGTCGCGGGAACCCCAATGGTCCGATCTTAAATTTCCCGACGCCGAATCGCCTCCCGCAGCAACCGCTAGCCTCGCGGTCGTGCCTCCTACCATCGGGGGTAAGAGCAAGTACAATATCAGGCTTATAGCTTGCCTACATGGCAATTTTGCCTATATGGAGGAGAGAGATATGAAAAAGTGAGGGGAATGGGCTTTCACGCAAGAGTCTAGCTATATGCGGATTCCTAGGCTGATATAATAAATATGAAGAAAGAGATAGAGAGAAGATGAGAAAAGGTAGTACTCTTATAGCAAGGCTTATAGCTAACCTTATTGTATGAGTGGCTATAAATGATGGCTTTATATAACATGGCAACATTATATAGCAACAGTTGGCTGAGTGGGGCGTTTTAGAGGCCGAGCTACCTGACTCCCGTTATCTGGGCCGAAGGTTGTTACATTGTGATGGGTGCTGCTCATTTTTCCAGTCCTTATACGAAGTTGGAATACATCGGTGCCATGGGCTGGGTGCTACCTTTGTACATGGGCCTCCCCCATGGGTGCGTGATGCGGGGACATGATGTGCCTCCTGGGCTAATGTTACAGATCGATTTGCATTTACCTCGTTAGAGTTAGACCTGTCATCACCTTCTTCCTGGCGCACTGGACATGGGACGGGGCCCCATGGATGGGATGGAGTTCTTCTTCGAAGATGACGATTCGGGGTAATCTTCTGACATATCTTGCAATTTTTGTTCTATTCTGGTACTGGGAATCGATTGGGTGTGTGCGGGGTGTTTGTTCTGGTAGGTTTTTTTAAATCTGAGTCGTCTCCTAAAAATTAGATCTAACTCGGTGTTCGTCTGGATTGGGTTGCACTTTCATTCCTAGGGCGGATGCAGGGTCTATCTTACAAGGGGAAGTAGCTGCAGTGGAATTGGCTGTTGCTTCTATTCATGGGGCTCGCACACGCAATGGAGATTAGATTTCTTCCCATGCAAACAGTGAAGGAATGGAGTCCGGAGAGAACGGAGGAGGACGGCACCCAGAAGAGACAATCATGACAGAGGAGATTATCGATTCATACATCTGTGGTAGCGAGGTGGTGGCCGATTCAATGTCCCTTGAAAATATGAGCGGCCAAAGAAGATGAGATGCAGAGGGAGTGGTCGTCTCAAAATCACAGGGCTCCTACTGGACACGAAAGGAAGTTTACTTGTGATCTAATCTATTATTTTGTGACTCTGTATAATGGTAGCACATAATGGAGTAAACGAGTCTTCATGTGAAATTGACAAGTGATTATGACATGCAAAGCATCAGATATCTTCATTTTTCTGGTTCAGGATCCCATGTGTGATTCAACAATTAATTGGTGTCCATGTTAAAATTTGCAGAATTAGGATCAGTTAGGATGCAGATGAGAGGGAGAACAATCCCAACAGAGTGCCTCCTGCGCTTGAGGCTTCGATACATTCTTATGCTGATAACAAGGCAGGTACTGTTGTTAATCCAGCTAGCTTCGCTTCCGTCGAAGAAGTATATGAGTTTTACAACTTGTACTCTTTGGGAGACTGACTTTGGTGTCCGGTATGCAAAGAGCCAGACTCAATGTCCATGGGATAAAGTGCATGCATGCGCGGTGAGTCAGAGCTAAACTGGTTATTAAGTCCTTGTGCCCCAAGATTCTTTTTTTTATTTGCCTGTGTTTCAATGTGCTTATGCGGTCTGGTTCGAGATCATTTGCAGGGTAAACCACTGCAGTCCAATAGCAGATCAAAACGGTGTGGCTGCACTGCTATGATGTGGCTACTGAGATCGGATGATAACGGTTCGTACGGGTGCGAGCATAGGTCAGAAATGATCATGAACTCTCTGTTAACTGTATGGAGAAGTTACATTTTTTTTTTGCGTGGAAATGGAGAAGTTACATTGAAAGTCGCATCGACACATGTACACCGGGGACATGGTAAAAGAACAAAGAATGAAAGCACATGCAAAGTTTACAGCATCGTGGCCAGTTTTTTTGGTGTCAGTGAAGGAGGTCCCGTTCACAAAATCTGCCATATTGGATATTTTTTGAATTTCTTTATCGGTTGATTATCTGAATATTTGTTCTTATCTGCACGCAGGATTGCGTCGCTGTGGGTCATGATCTTGAAGAGGGTTGCGGCCACTTCGACCCCTTGTTGGCGTTAATCCCACCGAGCCATGCAGCAAGTTATGAATCAGAGCACATGTTCGACGATATTTGACGGCGCTGCGGCAACTGATGGTGCATGCTCTGAAGACGAAGAAGTCACGAACAAGCCTGCCAAAAAAGCCAGGATAGTTTGACCGCCTAGTGTAGATTTTAGAGCAGGATTGGTTAGCCCTGTTTCATATCTTGTGCACGATATACTGGTGTGTGACTTGTCCTAGTAATTGCCTATGTAATTGCGTTTATCACTCTGCGCTTGGATTCATGTGTCTTTAAAACCGTTTGTCGTTTGATTATTCACCACTTGAAAGAGTGGTTAAGGTCGATGCATGGGGCCTCCGGATCCCTTGTTCTGCTTTCTAGGTCCAAGCATAGTGATGGCACTTGTGCCAGCGCTGCTGGATAGACTCGTCTCCATGGGATACTACTGTTCATTAATTGAGAATACAGTAGCTTGTAAATGACTCGTACCTGAAATACAGGAGAGGAATACCTGCCTGCGGCTGATCCCAATAAAGACAAACGGATGTGATACCGGCCACCAGGTAGCTCGGCCTCCAAAGAGCATTTCCGCAGTTGGCTATACTATTAACCATGCTCTAAGAAGTCAAAGGTCGTCCACCACATAGGGCTTGGGACGCCACCTTTCGCAAGGGAAGTGTCACAGGACCCGCTGACGCCGCCAAGGCTCCCTTGCATGTGAAGAGGCCACCACATGACCCATCGGTCGGGGCTACACCCCGCACGAAGAAGGCAACTATTGTGCCGAGGACCCCGCTGCCGGCTATCCCTCCCATCACACCATCGGCTCTTCGAACACCGCTTGTTGTCTCGTCAACTCACCTCCCACCGGCCGCCGCACGAGCATGAGCCAGCTTCACCCGTCGCCACAACCGTCGGCATCTCCAATGTGTTCGCTGAAATGATCGGAAGGTAAGCAAATTTTGTTTTTCAGTTTTCTCATTGATTTTCTTTTCTTTTTTTGCAGGAAAACATCCAATCTATACATCTCCAATCATTGCGGTACAATAAACACTAAAAATAATAAAAATTACATCCAAATCCGTAGACCATCTAGCGATGACTACACGCACTGAAACGAGCCGAAGATGCGCCGCCGTCATCGCCCCTCCCTCACCGGAGCCGGGCAAAACTTGTTAAATATAATATTGTTTAGATCACTAAATTATCATGTCATGGTTTGTTTGGATATCAGTCATGGAGTGAAGAAGAAAGAAGTCTAATTTCTACTCTCCAGGTTTTGGTCTGCTGTGAAATCGGAAATTTTTCTGAAGACCTCGTTCTTCAATTTATTGGTTTGCCGTTGGAGATGCTCTAAGCACCTGCGTGTGACGCCGGTTTAGAATAGGAGTACTTTGATCGATGGGAAGCAACAAATAAACACACACACACTCTCTCTCTCTTCCCTAAAAAAACTCTCTCTCTCTCCAAACACCCGATGAATATGACATGTCAAAAATGAAAGAAAAAATAGATGTTTTATAGCATGTACAATGATGCTATCTTAGCAGTGTCACATAGGATAATTGGTGAGGTGGAAGAGAGAGAAAACATAAAAAAAAAGGTTTGCCTTCTCTTAATTAAGAGATGATCTCTTAGCAACAATTATCTCACCACATATTTATGGATATCTAGTTATTGGAGGCGAGACTAAAAATCATCCATTGTACATCACGTTTTATTGTCTTATCTAGACTAAGATTAAGGCAGCCTTATCAATCATTGTACATGAGCATTTGTCTTAAGCACCTGCATTGTCCACATGCTCTGAGGTTGCGACTCGGTAGCTATCACAAAGCCTGACACTGGACAGAAAATCCCTCGTTCTCCGGTGAACAGTCAACTGTATAGGATTGGGTTGGTACGCAGATGCAACGGGGGGGCAAATGGCGGCAAAAAAAGGACACATTCTTGATCTTTAAATTAACAACCATGGGGTCGGAGCGGAGCGGAGACTGGTCTGCGCAGGTCCAGGTACCAAAGCTCAAAAACAAATACTCCCCTGTCTCCTCCTTGATCCTTGAGTACCACCAATTTGGCGATTTGCAGGACCAATTCATGAGTTGTTGTCTGCGCTAGCTAGCTGCCCTGTCTCTTCGCTCCCGCGAGAAGCCAAGAAACAGGGGAGCGCCGCCCGCGGCGCAGCAGCAGCAGCTTCATTCATGGCGACGGGGGAGGGGGCGGACGGGACTGGCAGGAGAGGGGTCCCTTCCTTGCTCCAGGACGGCGGGACCGGGCAGGACGAGCACATCGCGTCCGACGTCACCCAGGCAAGCCTCGACCCCTTCCCCTGTACATCGACTCTGACGGAGGTTGAGGTGGGCTGGGATTTAGGGGAGGCTCATGCGGAGCGGTTGGTTTGGTTCAGCTGATAGGGTGGACGCCGCTGATCGAGCTGAGGCGGATCGCCGGGAAGGAGGGGGTGGGTGCGCGCATCGTCGGCAAGATCGAGGCCTATCAGCCCCTCTGCTCCGTCAAGGACCGCAGCGCTCTCAGGTACTGTTAGCTCGTTCTAACCAGGCTCGTTCACTTTTACAAATCTTGGGATGGTATCAGTTTACAGAGCTAGTTTCATTTCTGCTAGTTGAGCAATTTGTGAAAAGTCAACGGGGGCTAAAAGGAGCTAAATTTCCACTTATGCTAAGATTAAGGCTTCCTGTAAAGTGTAAACCATCATTTTCATTGTTTGGCTGTAGGGATTGGTGTGATAAGGTGGTGATTTCAAGAATATCTTCTTGCACTTCCCAGAATTGATCTTGCAAGTGCTGGGAAATTATGAGCTTATGTTGTGCTATCTCTTCATGTTTTCTTCAGGATGATCGAGGATGCTGAAGAGAAAGGGCTGATTTCACCAGGTGTCACGACTCTAGTCGAGCCGACCAGCGGTAATTTGGGCCTGGGATTGGTTCTGATTGCCCTAAGCAAAGGCTACAGGTTCGTCGCGGTGATGCCGGGCCAATACTCGCTTGATAAGCAGATCTTGTTGAGATACATGGGTGCTGAGTTGTTCATAACTGGTGAGATGGATAGATAGCATCAGCATAGTTGCTTCCCGGCTCAAGGAAGCACAGATGTTTGCTTGCTTGATTAGGTCTGATTGATTTTCCTTGCAACCGCTGTGATTTGTATCTGTAACCTTGTTTCTTTTGTGTAACCACATGACAGATCCAACACTTGGGTTCCCAGGAATAACCGACAAGGTTGAACAGCTCAAGAAAGAATTACCGAATGTACACGTTCTTGATCAGTTCTCAAATCCAGCAAATCCTGATGCACACATCAGAATGACTGGTACTGTCCAAGATGACTTGACCTATGATATTCAGAAGAAAGGAGTACTTTCTTTTGATCTGTTTTTACAAAAGAAGATTTATGCTGTTTTCAGGACCTGAGATTTGGAAGGATACTGCTGGCAAGGTGGACATATTTGTTGCTGGTTCAGGCTCAGGAGGCACGGTATCTGGTGTCGGAAAGTATCTGAAGATGCAAAACCCAAATGTGAAGATCATTTGTGTGGAACCTACAGAGAGTTCAGTTATTTCAGGTAATAAAAAATCTGATGTTGAACTTCAAAACTGATGGAGTGCTTACCACGTATCCCTTGGAAATCATCAGTAATGGCTAATTAAGGTTAGATAAATATTTTGTAGTGCTTTTATACTTCAAAGTACCATACTTTTAATTGAAATGATATTTACTATAGAGAATCTGCAAAATGATTTGGTATCTTATATTTGTTGCAGAATATCCTAAAAAAAAACGTTACAGAATGGAGTACTTTTCTTTGTGCAGTTGTAGCTCTGCTTGCTGCTTAGTTGTCAGTCCATTAGTTCCACTCGTTGTCATCTTTTTTTTTTTTGAGAAAATGTTTCACTTGTCATCTTGAAAGGATGCTTTCATTTGTTAGGCAGCAGATAAGTATCAATGTGTCACGCTTTCATCGTATCTTCATGATTGATTGAAACATGCGGTCCAGATAATTCTCTGGCTACACGATTGCTTCAGATTGTGTGGTACCATTGCTTCAGATTGCTCCATTAGTGACAGTGACACTCTGTTGACTTACGTGTTGGTATTGTTCAGGTGGGGAACCAGGAAAACATAAAATCCAGGGAATAGGACCAGGATTCTTACCTGAGATCTTGGACACCTCGGTCATTGATGAAACGGTCACCGTGACCACCGAGGACGCAATGGTGAATGCGAGGAGGTTGGCAATGGAAGAAGGCCTGCTTGTGGGCATATCTTCTGGGGCAAACCTGGCAGCTTGCTTGAAGGTTCACATCTCATATCTAATTCGACCTTTTTTTGTATTAATGGAAAATGGAGAAACATGGTTTCAGTTTTTCTTTGCATTTAAATAAATAAAAAAATGGGCTATTAACTTTGTTTTCGGTTCTCTTGACTTTACTTCTTTCATATTTAACAACTCTTCCAAGTCAATGTATCTTCAGGTTGCAGCGAGAGAAGAGAACAAGGGGAAGATGATTGTGACCATGTTCCCGAGCGGGGGCGAGAGATACATGAACTCGGACCTCTTTGCAGCTGTAAGAGAAGAGTGTATTGCCATGACCTTTTGATCTCACATCTTATAAACTCGAAAGAGTTGTATGTGAAGGGTATATGTAGTCGGTTACCTTAATGTGTTGCAGTGGACAACATTCCTACGGAGTTTACCTGCAAGGGATCATGAATTGTTATTAGTCACTGAATGAATGCCCAGGAATGTGTTACTAGATAATCATGCCATAGCGTCACTAAGAAAGAACATATATTTTTCAATTAGCTATACAGAGCATAATTAGCATACATCCGGCCCCTGCATGATTAGGATATACACACGACAACAAAATTAAAAAAACACCAGCAATAACAAGGTCATATGGGACCAAAAGCATGCCTCAGACGAGGGGGTGGAGGGCTATCCGTAGACTGTGCCGCCACCCATGTGGGATAAAAGCATTTACAATGTGATTTGTTAGTATGATTTGGTGCTACAATATTATGAATGTTTCTTCGTGAAACACCATTTTCGATCTTGGAAACTAGCGGTCATCCCTTCATAATGGACATAAAGGATATTAACGGTAGCCTCGTACTCGAATGAACTAAGTGCCACTTAAATTCTCTAAACTTATCTTCGTAACTATACAAAGTAAACAAACAAAGATCCTCGACAAAAAAAACTAGATACCCACTTGAGCCTAGTTCTATTTTTCTTTGCTGAAATTTTAAGACCAGGGGATCTGGATAGCCAATTGTCCCTTCACATATTTATACTCGAACCATTGACCACCCTCCAAATAATACCAGTTTTCAGCAGATCCAGTCCATGCATAATTCCATGCCAAGTAGATGACACTGACTGCGGGAAAACATTTTATTGGTTCTGTTGGATCAACTCGGTTCTTCACTGCGTGAGCAAATTTTGTTCTTGTTCCGGAGAGCCTGGCATTTGAGGATTGATTTAATTTTTAGTAAAGCTCTGCTAATTTTGTGGATAGCTACTGGAGGTCCTTTTCCTCCTGTCGCGTGAGTTAAGAGTTGGTTTCTTTAAAGGGAAAAGGGGTGGTGGATGAGTTGAGGCAGCCGCCCACGGCTTCTAGGTTTCATGTGGAGTTGAAAACCCTCCTTCTGATTGTATTAGGATTAATGTCGATGCCAACTTTATGGAGAGTACTAAGGCCGCCGGTGTAAGAGTAGTGTCCAGGAATTCGGTTAGATGTGTTATCTCAACGTGGGGTTATATTGGGCGGTGCACCGGTGTGGATGAAGCGGTGCTTAGGGCTTGCCTCGTTGGTCTCTATATCAGTATGACCCTACATATGCCTATTATTTTGGAAACTGAATTTGCGTTTGTGACATCCCTAGCTTAGTCATTGCATAATCATCATGTCCTCATGTTTAAATTCAAATGAATTTGAAATGGGGATTGATAAACCCTAGCACCAGATGAAATTCAACTAGGATAAAAAAATCAATGAACCCACAATGCCCTTCAATATTGTTCATGATTTAGGGAAAAAGGTGAAAGCCCTAACCATAATGGTGCACATTTTTCCGAGACATATATGGGATTTGTAATAATCCATATTGTATTTGAGTTGGAGCAAATAAATGCTATATATGTTTTTATAGCTCCAGTAATTTTGAAACTTGGTGAGGGCCATTGGAATAATTCAGAGAGTGCCCACAAAAAGTTTCAGAATTTATGAAAATGGTTTGGTCTTTGAACTAAATCAAAACAGAACAACAAAAATAGAAAGCAGAGAACAGAATAGGAAAGGCAGAGGGAGAGAGAACTTACCGCAGCCCACTGGCCGGCCCAGTGCCGTGTAGCCCAACTTAATACATGGTGAGGCAGGCATAAAAACACTCTTGAAGTGGAGTAGTAGTAGTAGTAGTAGATGCAGAATCGTTTCGGTCTATTTGTCATGGACGTAATGCCTATGTACCGACCATGCCATGGATAACATTATAACTATGTGTGTTTCTATCAATTTTTCTCAACAGTGATTTGTGTACCCACCGTTGCTATGTTCTTGAGAGAGATGCCTCTAATGAAAGCTATGGCCCCCGGGTCCATTTAAATCATATTGCTAAAACCGTAAAAACCTTGTTGCGATTTATTTACTTTTATTTAGTTTTGCAATTTATACATCTCCCATTACCAGAAGTAATCCTTGCAATTAACGAGTACAAGGGGATTGGCAGCCCTCTTGCCCGCGTTGGGTGCAAGTATTTGTTTGTGTGTGTGTGCAAGTACTACTAAAAGTTGTTCTTAATTGAAGGAAATACTTTGTGCTACTATACTATTTCACCTTCCTCTTCGAGGAAATCCCAACACATATCACAAGTAGCACCATGTGACGGGGTCTTCTCGGGGGGTGGAAAGAGGTGCCTTCCTACCTGTTCCTTCGGTGGGTTATGGCCGAATACTTGGTGGAGTGGGGCTCGAGTTCGTGGATGTCGGGGTGGCGAGTCTGGGAAGTTGTTTGGATGACCGAGTCTCAGATGAGCATCACTGCAGTGGTGCTAGCGGCGCCTCTTGGTCATGTGGATGTCGAGTTGTGCTGTGGCGGTTGATTTTGGTGAGGTTGCCGCTTATGTTGGTGGCCAGATCTTGATGCAGATCTGCGGTCATGGAACTGTCGTCGTGGGTCCCTTGGCATGGTGGACCCGGTGTCTTGAGTCCATTTGGGTGACGATGTCCTCCTATCATTTGTCGAGGGACGACACCCACCTCTCGTCTCAGTGCTCGACATCACGTTTGACCGTTTCATTTACACGTGACATTGTTCGTTTCTCGGTTCTTTCTTCTAGCCGGTAGGACTGACTTTCCTCAGTCTGAGCCAGAGGGCAAAGGATCCTTTTCGGCAACAGTTTCGTGGAGCTATTGTGATGTAATTTTGTGGTTTATTCCAAGTGGCACATGTTAATGGACTACTGTGGTGTCTCATGGTGGTATGACCTCTCCTATACTTTTGTCTGGCATCTTGCTGCCAA